CCAACTTTTCATTTCAAAATCGTGTTTCGAAAATATTAATCATTAATCACATGAAAATAGATGGCCAGGCTACCCTACGACTTAAGCTATGAAATGTTACACAAAATTAAATCTCCCAGAAACATGTAAAAACACAAATTTTCAGCTTCAAATTCGAAATACACTATTCTATAAAATTCGAACAATATATCAACAAAATGGGAACATCGATTAATACTTGAATTTCATGAACGAATCAGGACTTGCAAATCTAACACAACAACATACAGCATGCTAAAGTCAATATGTAAAAATCTCAGCCCTTAACATTGACTGCTACTATTTTTAAAAATTCATATGAGATTCAGCAGTTTATCGAATTTAAATCAAACCCGAATCAAAATGGACTCCAAAAATTCCCATCTTTTAATAGCATGATAATACACATAAAATGAGAATGTCAGAAAAATTTCAGAATTTTTAATCAAACAACCGATTTATAAAAATTCAAACAATTTTCAGCAGATTCGATAAATAATTTATTAACCATATCAAATCAAGTACAAAAATTATATAAATTTAACACAACATATAAACGTCACATAGGCATTATATACTCGAATTGCAGCTCATTTGGTTCATGAATGAATTTATTATGAAATTAACACTACTCTGATCAGATTTCAATATAATTATTAAAAATAGCTACAGGCTTCTAAAAATCACGAAAGTTTTACACAAGGCTTTTATTGAATAGAGAACATCACCCTAAAAATTTCAAGTCGTTTCGAGCAGCGAGCTATTTTTAAAAAATCAAATACCAAAACAGCGACAATAAAAGCTCGACAATTTAACAATTAATTCATAGCATGAAATTTCTCGTCCGAGGCCTTCTTGTAAGACCAAGGACTCGACATCGCAAACACATATTAAATCACGACTTCATATAAAATAACGTCGCGCATATTAAATCGCAAAGAGCACATCACGTCATTCAATCACGATAGGCAACTAATATTTATACGATTTAAACGAGACGGGATCGACTAGATATCGTTCTCGGGAACACGGTACGTAGTGACGGTCGAACGAAAGACGACAGCAAACGCACGGTGGCTAGCGCTCACGGCAGCAACAGGCTCGACAACGACTCGTGAAAGGGGTTGTGCAGCTCTTCTCGGCCTGCTGGATTGCTGCGATGGTCGAGGACGACTCGTCGGAGCTTGTTGGTCACTGCGGAGGGTCACGGCTGAGGAGCAGCGGCGCTGGAAGGACTGGTCGCGGCAGAGTTGCAGGCGGTGGTCGCTCGCCGGAGAACAGGGCCTGCTCGCGGTGGCAGGGATCGCCGTGAAGGTGGTCGCCGGCTGCTGGTGCGCGGGACCTTCGCGACGGAGGTGCTGTGCGGAGGGGAGAACTCGCCGGAATTCGCGAACAGAGTCCACGAAGGGTTGCTCACGGCGCGGCAGGGCTTCTGGGGTGGAGTCACGACGCGGAGGGGCTTCTGCGGTGGTGTCGCGGCACGGCGGCGTCTGCTCCCGTTCGCGGCGAGGAGGAGCTTGTCGGACTGGTTCGCGAAGTAGAGAGCTCGCCGGAGATGTAGGCGCGCGGAGGAGCAACGGTGGTCGGAGTTGCGGGCTCGTCAGGCCTGCACGGATTTCGCCGATGGTTGCACGATGAGGAGAGAGGAAAACGATGATGGAGATGGCGACGACGGGAAATTTCTCTGCTCCTGGCGTGCGATTGAAAGAGAGATTATATGGTTGCGGCGTTCGATCGAGAGATTCAGCAAGCGAGAGGGTAACAGATATATATATATATATATGTATAAACCTAGGTTTTCCTTTTCTCTCTTGTCCTCCAAACATACACGTGCACAAAAGGAAAGGATAACCGGGTCGGGTCAGTCCGGTTCGGCTGGGCTGAGGTGAGCGGGTCTTCGGGCCAGTCTCTCGGCTTTAAGGGGCCGATAATACTTGGGCAAAAAGACCAGAATATTTAGCTCTTGTACTGAAAATAATAAGGCTCGATTCTGGGTTCTCGGGCTCGATTTATCGGTCTATTTAGCTAAAATAAAATGGCACGCTTCGCTCGATAATTTAAAATAAGATTTTCGGCTATTATAATAAATTATATATCACACATTAATAATAATAATAATAATAATAATAATACACATTTAAGCATTTATTCGACAATTAGGCATTTAAATCAAATAATAATAACAATAATAAAAATAATAATAATAATAATAATGACAAAAATATTAATTAAAAATCCCAATTATTCCATAAACGAACGGGGCGCTACAGACTACCCACCTTACAAAGAATTCCGTCCTCGGAATTCAAAATACAAACTACGACACGATACAAACGAGAAAAAGAGGGGAAAACATCAACACTTGAAATTCAGGTATCTCCTCCGAATTTCGGTCCCCTTCTTCCCAAGTCGCCTTGCCTTGACAAACACCACTGGTCTTTGACGAGTACCCCTCCCGGTCTTTTCCTAAAGGACCCTCTGAGCCAATAGGTCACCGGTACCTCCATACAGGTAGGGTTCTGCCTATCACGCAGCTCGTCACATCTCACATGTACTCCGAGATCACGCACATGTTTCCTCCATCAAGAGGCACAAAACGTGTCATGCATCCTCGCGAGTTCT